TTATTTCTGTATTTTTTATTATTCAAATATCCAATAATTATCCCTCATATCATTTTTTCGATGATTTAATCATCTAAATTTATCATTTACGCCCATATAGCGCTTAAATATTTTAATTGCATTTCTATAATTACATTTGTGTTTTTAAGGCTAGAATTGCACATTTTGCAATAATAGCCCATATATATGCATAATTATATTATCTACACAGAAAATGACTTTCTATATTTTTATAATGTTAAATAATTATTTTTAAATCATTTTTTCATATATAAGTGGCATTTTATCATTTGCTAATTATTTTTATAAATTATTTTACTAGTTTAATTGGGTATTTAAAACATAGCCCCTTTTAATCAATTTTTCGGACCTAACCCACTATCCATTACCCCCAGCCCAATAACCTAACCCAATTACCCTTACCCAATTAGCTACCCGACCCAGAACCCCTTTAATCGTGACCGTTGATCTCTAAGATCGACGGTCCATATCCCTTCCCCTTATTTTAATTACACCCAAACCCCTAACCCTAATTCATTCACCCAAACCCGCCGCCTCTGTATTCTCTCATCTCCTCTCCTCACCCCTCTCAAACCCTAGCGCTGTAACCCTAATTCCCCATTCGATTCCAACCAGATATGGAGTCAACCATGGATTCCCTTACCTTATTGGTCTCTCCTCACCACTGGCTACTCGTCTATGACCCTATTTAGTTGCTTGCCTAACATGGCAAGCAAATCTTGCCAAAATTGAACTAAATCGGGTCAACTCTCTGATTTATGTGGCTATCCCGTCTATATTCATCTCTGAGTCTTTGTGAGTAACGAACATGTTCATATCTTCTTTGATTCTTACTTACCCCAAATTAGGTTTTCAAATCCTCTTTGATTCGAACCAAATCTTGTTCAGACTCTGTCTTTTAAAATATTTTCTTCGTCTATATTTGCTCTATTATTTATGGTTCTATTGATTTTTTACCGATCCTGTGATTTACTTGAATGTAGGGTTTCAAACCTTTTCTTTTACTTGAATTAAAACTGATTCGACTATGAGTTTCCTTTAATAAACTCCTGTATATGTTTATTTGGTACGAATCTGTGTTATTCTCTTTTACTCTGGCTGATTTGAGCGCCTTACCTTAAAATTAGGGTTTCAGATCTTTCTCTAGTCCGATTCTTTATTACTTTTTGAATAAATCTCCTGTCTATGTTCATTGTACACAGTATATGACTATTTTGCCCTTGTTTCTCTTCCGATTTTGTGGTTTACCTAAAACTAGGGTTTGAGACTTTTACTCTTTCCTTTCTCGTATAGTACTGATACTTTCTTTACCTTGTTCCTTTATTTCTTCACCTTGTTTGCTGATTGATAATTGATTCTTACCTTATTATGAGTTGTACTTGCCTGATTACTCATTAATTGACTAAACTCTGTACTATCTGTCCCTAAACTAGACTTCAAATTGATCCTGGAATTATTTTTTTACCTTATTTTGATCTAATACTTGACTATTGATTGATTCCATATAATGCTTACCCTAAATTAAGTGGTACTAGCCTGATTATATGCTATTATGTCCTGTTAATTGATTGAAGCCGACTCTAATTGATTGTGAAGTTATTCTCATGCCTTATTTGTGTAGGACTGGTTCGTTACCTTATTTGTCTACCTCATTTAGCATTATTTAAACCCTTCCTCTTTCCCCTTTAGAACAACTCTCGAACTCTCCTATTCTCACTACTAAACTTAAGCTCTCTCTCTTGCTCTTGTTCTGATTTCTGCACTTAGTGGCTATTGTTTGGCCGGCTGAAAACCAAGGCCAAATCATTCTAGAACTTAATTGTTACTGCATCTTTACTTTCTTTCTTCTCAACCAGTATGCCCTAACCTTATCAATTGTTTAATTAACCTGTTTCAATTCCTAGCATGATTCAGTCCTCTATCTGGTAATTTGATAATACTGTTAACTTAAGTCTAAAGCATTTAGAATAACAGGAATCTTCTCAGAAGTTAGTTTAAGATTTGATTTGTTTGTCAACTTTATACATGCCTGAACTATGAGAATGTAATCAAGTATGTGTGTGCTTAATTCATATGTCCTGTGTGTTCAGTTCAAATGCATCTGCCTAATTGCTTCTGTGACTACACCATGACTGTTTCAAATTCTAGTATAAGCACTTATCTTAATCAAACTTCACCATGTTTGAACTGTATGCTAAACCTTGTTTGTTTCTTGGAGCAGTTCTGCCTGCAACTCTGTGTTCTGAACTTTTTCTCTTCTGAAAATTGAACTATTTCAAAAACTTGCCCCTTACCTTATGCACTGGTTTTCCAAACTTCTACTCTTAGTCATTTAGGTTCTCACCACCCCCAATGTGAGCACTGCCTAGGTCCCTGAGACTCCTTTGGATACTGACACATTAGGGATGATTTTCCAATCTTTTATGAACTCTGTGGTGAATGTGTGGTTCTGGTGTGAGCATTACCCAAGGTCCCTGAGGCTTTTTGGAACTTTGACACACTGGAAGCCTGGTTTCAATGTGCTATGAATGGATCACCGCTATGCTTCAGAGCTGTTGTGCTTGAAGGCCTGGTTCTCAGGTTTAGATTGGGCCTATGAAGGCTCCCTATAGTGTAACCATTACTATTATGTAATTCATTCATTTTGGGCTGTAATAATCTCTGTAATAACATATTTGGGGTTAATTAGTAAAAACTGGGGGGTCTATTCTCATATCATTGTTGAAATTGGGTAGTAATCCTGCCTATAGGACTTAACTATGTTGATTGAATTATGTGGATATTGTACTGTGTTTAGAGATCCTGTCTATAGGATTTTTTATGATCATTTGCGTGCTAGAAATCCTTCTTATAGGACTTCACGTTTGATTCTGCATTAGAAATCCTGTTCATAGGATCTACACATATTTCCAACTCAGTGTGCATTAGTGACCATGCACTACAACATTTAAGGGCTCCAGCCACCCCTGAAAAGTGTGGCTTAAGATGTCAACAAGTGTAGCATTAGCTCAAAGGCAATACTTTACGACTTTAGGCTACGCTTTTAGGGGGTGGCCTAAAGTACCGTAACCTTTGACTTATGGCCACGCTTTTTACATGTTGCCGTAGGATCCACACTTCAAAAGTGTGGCCGATGCACTAAAAAAGCTACACTTTATATTTCCTCTATAGCCACACTTTTATGACGTAGAGCTACAATTTTGAAGCGTGGTGTTTGTTGCTTTATAGACCACACTTTTAAAGCGTGGCTTCTAAAGCAACTGTGATCAAGCATGACATCAAATTGCGTCACATTTTCTAAGAGTGGCAATTGTCTACGCTATGAAATAATTTTAAAAAATATTTATATTTACCACAATTGTGTGGTTAAGAAATTAATTTTGCCTACATTAAACTCTGTATTCACATTTATTTCAAGTACATACATTATGATCTCAAGCATCAAATTAAATAATAAGTAATAGAATAAAAATAATTCAAATGCATATACTTGAAATANACAGAAATGGAAGAACTTCATTTCTTCTTCATTATATGTAGGCATAAGAATGAATGAATTTATTGTGGGACTTTTATGATGCTTTATCATTTGTACTAGTCTTATTTAATATGTTTACTGTCCTATTTAATACTTATCGAGAAATTTGTTGAGAGAGAGTGTATCACTATATTGTTTCTAATCTGTACAATGTGGGTTAGATGCCATAAACATTGCTGATTTAGTGCTTCAGCATGCTGCCAATTTGCTGCCTTTTTCCTTCTAGATATCATTTAAAGTTTCTACTGAAGGTTTGGAACTTTTTTGCAACTGTAACTACAAATAGTGCATAGTGCGTGTGGACCAGTTTCTTCTTTCACTCTATTAAATTAATGTGTAGTAGCAAATTGAACTCTATAGATTTGCTTTGTATATTATCTGTTTTTAGCTATTTATTTACTTGAGAAGCTCCTTAAAAGAAGGCAATGTTTTCTGCTATTTATATCAACTGTCTGTGTTGCTTACACTTTTGAATTGCATAATGTGTAGTTTGGTTTATCTTACTTATTTGTTAGTATCTGATTAATATACATGCTTCTAAAGTTTCTCCAATACTTAATGATCTTTTACCATTGACTATTCCAAGGCAAAGAAACACACAAAAGATGTGGAAAAAGAAGAGAAAGAAGGATTTGACAAAAACCAATGATGATAGTGAAGGTGACTTCAAACCTTTCTATGTAGACTATTAGCCTTCACAGCATCTGATGCGAAGAGAACTCACAGGAAAGTCATAAAGGCAAAGGGAAGGTGATGCCTTTCTTCCAGGTCTTTTCTTTTATTGTTGGATTTGAAGTTTCATTGTATATGTAATGTATGTTAATTTTGGGTTAAAATACTCTTTAAACAGTGTTCATGTTGCCTTGCCGTGTTATTATAGTATAAACTAGTGGCGCTTACAAATATTCCTGGAATTGTGAACAATTGTACAGGTTAAAACCAGTAACTTAACAAAGTTTAGACTACTTCAATAACACAAGAATTCATTAATCTCCCGTATATACTTCATTCAGTTATACTCGATGCTATAAAGTTGCGGTTAGTTTATAAGTACACATATAACATCCCAAAAAGGTTTATCAAACATAGCTAGATGGAGTTATCTCCTAATGAAACTACAATTTCACTAATTTGTCATTAGATTAGTACAAGATATAAGCACCAGACACATATACAAAGCTGCATTTATTAGAAATACATGGTTTTAATTAAAAAGCTGAAACTTTAGCAGACACACATTCAGTTAACGCGAGGGGCTACATAATAACAAGATCTTAACTTTTATCATGACTTACTATTGCAACTTGAGTATCTGTATGAACTTCTTTTCCTTTCTTTGTACGAGTTGCAATAAATATTTCGGACTTTGATGGTTCCTCGTTGTTCTCTTTGGTTGCACGTCTACAAATTAAATCAAAAGAAGTAAAAAACTAAACATTAGTGTGTTCCGACAAAGAAAATGGAAGTCAAAATTTTCATAAATTGTCGAGTAAAAGCTACCAATGCTACGCGTATTCTTCCAAAATTAATAGGTCCCATTCGATGCCTCCACTTTTTTTTTTTTTCTATTTTCAGAATTTAATTGGCACATGGCCTAGCACCAAAAGAAGTACATTAGTCAATAAATCAAAAAGAAAAAAAAAGATATAATGCAACAATATGTTCAAGTGTAGAAATGCACAATTTAATCTCACTTGGACATCTGAATCCTTCCAATACTCAATCAATTGGCGAAATTGAACTTCTGGTATCTCATTCGGATGATTTTGTAGCATGTCTTCGTCAGTAGCATTCTTATTGAAATATTTCATCTTAATATTTCTCTTGTGTCTCCTCCAAGCATCACGAAGACCGGTCATTACCCACTTCTCTCCTTCTGCTGGAATTATGAACTTGGACTATGCAAAATAACGTATATTTAGCTTCACTTAGTAGGAAGTATACAAAAAGGTATACATTAAAAAATTGATTGTTCTTACATTGACATATTCCCACATTCGTCGCTTAATATCCTGTGACACAGCATGCCAACTAGTATGCACCAAGGTGATAAATCTTGGATTTCTTGCAATTGTTCCTATAAAGTTAGTCAAATCAGACATTCTCTTGTCAGTTGGTCCCACTGCTTGTCCTTTGTCAAATATCACCTCCTCTCTTTCTTCAAAACTTCTTGCATGAATATTCTTACATGTCGCTTGCCCTCGAACTCTTTTCTTCTCTAATATCCCTAGATTAATGTAACATCATGACATAAGGAAAAAGTTACAATATGTAAAAGAATTACAAATTTTAAGACATACCATCTGCAGCACTATCAATGTTTACATCCTCATCTCTAACAAACTCATCGTCACCAACTCCTGCTTGTGCATCAAAATTATCCATTTCTATTTCATGCTCATCAACAACAGCGGATGACATAAATCTGACTTCATCTACTTGTTGGATATTAGGAGAATTTTCACCACCAACGTGTATCCAATATTTTTTTAGAAATTGATTTACACTCGTCGACGGTAGGACCGAGTTTGTCTTTACCTTTTTACAGCTTTGTTTCTCCTGAATATCAAGTTGTTTCTCTCCTTCACCTTGCTTTCTTCCACTCATACGTAAAGTGCTAAGATCTTTCTTTGAAGATGACTGGAGCATGGATGTGTGCACAGGTAATTTATTCATTCCTTGCTTTTGAATTTGCTCCTCCAATTGAACTAACCTCTGTTTACTTTGTCCTCTTATTGCAATGTTATGTGAAGTGTTCAGATCTTCCGTGGAAAGCGATTGGATCATTGATTTGTATATAGGCAATTTACTCATTCCTAACTGTTGAACCGACTCATCGGATTGAGTTAATATCACGACCCAAAATCTAACCTCGAATTCAAGCCTAAGACTTTTAAACTTTCAACTTTTGCCAATTCAAGCCTAATTCTACCACGGACCTCCAAATTATATTTTGGACATACTCCTAAGTCTAAAATCAACCAACGAAGCTAATCGAATCATAAAAATCCAAATCCAAATTCGTTTACTCATAAGTCAACTTCCGGTTGACTTGTCTAACTTAGCTTTCTAACTAAGAGACTAAATGATCATTTCACTCCAAAACTACTTCGAACCCAAACCTACCAACTCGATACAACTCAACACAGCTGAACAACACATAAAGAAACAAAAATGAGAGAACGGGGCTACAACTCTTAGAACGACTAACCGGGTCGTTACATCCTCATCCTCTTAAACAAACGTTCGTCCTCGAACGAGTCTAAAAACATACCTGGAGTCTCAAATAGGTGAAACCTTCAGCAATACCTTCTCGTCACATTCAAATCATATGAACTCATCTCGCGGTCACATCATACTCACCACATAGCCCTCAAATCACGAATCCCACTAATAGGGACACCAACGGACATATAAGCACGTGCTCACACAATTAAAATTTTCGTACTCCAGCTACAGACAAAACCCGGCCTCAAGTACCCCAGACTGGCCCAACATCAACACACAGAAATCACATCTCGCACCTCATCCAGGGAATCATAATCCATCGATGCACAACTGATACCGAATGCTCGTGTGCGCATACGAATGCGTGGAAGGAATTCAAAGAGTTNATATAATAACAAGATCTTAACTTTTATCATGACTTACTATTGCAACTTGAGTATCTGTATGAACTTCTTTTCCTTTCTTTGTACGAGTTGCAATAAGCATTTCGGACTTTGATGGTTCCTCGTTGTTCTCTTTGGTTGCACGCTACAAATTAAATCAAAAGAAAGTAAAAAATAAACATTAGTGTGTTCCGACAAAGAAAATGGAAGTCAAAATTTTCATAAATTGTCGAGTAAAAGCTACCAATGCTACGCGTATTCTTCCAAAATTAATAGGTCCCATTCGATGCCTCCACTTTTTTTTTTTTTCTATTTTCAGAATTTAATTGGCACATGGCCTAGCACCAAAAGAAGTACATTAGTCAATAAATCAAAAAGAAAAAAAAAGATATAATGCAACAATATGTTCAAGTGTAGAAATGCACAATTTAATCTCACTTGGACATCTGAATCCTTCCAATACTGAATCAATTGGTGAAATTGAACTTCTGGTATCTCATTCGGACGATTTTGTAGCATGTCTTCATCAGTAGCATTCTTATTGAAATATTTCATCTTAATATTTCTCTTGTGTCGCCTCCAAGCATCACGAATACCGGTCATTACCCACTTCTCTCCTTCTGCTGGAATTATGAACTTGGACTATGCAAAATAACGTATATTTAGCTTCACTTAGTAGGAAATATACAAAAAAGTATACATTTAAAAAATTGATTGTTCTTACGTTGACATATTCCCACATTCGTCGCTTAATATCCTGTGACACAGCATGCCAACTAGTATGCACCAAGGTGATAAATCTCGGATTTCTTGCAATTGTTCCTATAAAGTTGGTCAAATCAGACACTCTCTTGTCAGTTGGTCCCACTGCTTGTCCTTTGTCAAATGTCACCTCCTCTCTTTCTTCAAAACTTCTTGCATGAATATTCTTACATGTCGTTTGCCCTCGAACTCTTTTCTTCTCTAATATCCCTAGATTAATGTAACATCATGAAATAAGGGAAAAGTTACAATATGTAAAAGAATTACAAATTTTAAGACATACCATCTGCAGCACTATCAATGTTTACATCCTCATCTCTAACAAACTCATCGTCACCAACTCCTGCTTGTGCATCAAAATTATCCATTTCTATTTCATGCTCATCAACAACAGGGGATGACATAAATCTGACTTCATCTACTGGTTGGATATTAGGAGAATTTTCACCACCAACGTGTATCCCATATTTTTTTAGAAATTGATTTATACTCGTCGACGGTAGGACCGAGTTTGTCTTTACCTTTTTACAGCTTTGTTGCTCCTGAATATCAAGTTGTTTCTCTCCTTCACCTTGTTTTCTTCCACTCATACGTAAAGTGTTAAGATCTTTCTTTGAAGATGACTGGAGCATGGATGTGTGCACAGGTAATTTATTCATTCCTTGCTTTTGAATTTGCTCCTCCAATTGAACTAACCTCTGTTTACTTTGTCCTCTTATTGCAATGTTATGTGAAGTGTTCAGATCTTCCCTGGAAGGCGATTGGATCATTGATTTGTATATAGGCAATTTACTCATTCCTAACTGTTGAACCGACTCATCGGATTGAGTTAACCTCTGTCTTCTTTGTCCTTCTGTTGTTGTAGGCATATTATTCTTTCTTTTAAATCTAAGTGACGCCTGCTCTTTCACAGCTTTATCCTTGTGATTACTTGCGAGATTTTCTCTCTTAATTTGAAATTTTTTCGCCAATTCGGCACTTGATCAGTATTGAAAATCAAAACCTATATTCTTCATTGGACTTTCAGCTTTGTTTGGATTCGAAACCTTTTTCTTTAGAGCTGCTGCTTGATTCATCCTTCATACAAAGAAAAAAAATAGTTTAGTCTAGCAACTAGTAGGAGTACAGAACACTATGCAGAAAATAGACATTTAAGACCAAGCTATCATGAAATTTATAATCATTTAACATGCATGAGGAGGAACTCATTTAACACTATGGTTTTCATTCTGAAGCCAACCAATTCCCTGATGGAGATGAGGAGGAACTCAAACAGAGGACGTTTAAAGAGCAGTTCAAGAGTGATACATTAACTATTCAACTTGTTATCTGTTGAACAGTTAAACATCATGTCAGCATATGTTAAACATCATAACAGAATGATATTATAACTATAATGAATACTCTTCCCAACTATTCACGGTAGATTTCACCATAAGACCGTACGAAGAAAAAAGCATAACATTTTATCTGAAACTGCACATCAACTTGTTATCTGTGGTACTAGAAAATAGCACTTATCAGATTTCTTTAAACTAAGCAGAGTAAGAATGTTTATGTCCCCCACCAGAAAGTCAATCAACAACCTTCTCAAATTACTATTGAGTCCATTGAGAATTGCTATCCTGGAAGGAGCTTACTGTCGGGAAAGAACAGTCTTGGTGAAGTAATCTGATTAAAGTAAACTTCGAAATCCTTAACTACTATTTTTTAGGTTGCTTGACCACAGTGACCTGTCATTCCAATGCTAACTCATCCCAACTAACTCTAACCTAAGACCAACTCCCCGTCCCTGATTGCTACCTCCATAACAAAATAGGCCACAAAAATTTAATATGAAAACTCAAATTCAGCTCACTAAACATTGGAATATGTGGAAAATAGCCTCGCTCAAGCTCACTTCACGCAAGGCATTATCTTTTTTAAGTTGATTGAAGAGCAAGACTGAGAAAGCAGGGCATACCAAATGATATCAATGTGCCAACAGCACCAAACAACATAATTGTCATAAAATTCCTGAAAAACTGCTTCTTTTTCGCCTAGAAACTGATAATGTGAAAATACTTACATGTAACTTGGCAGAATATAGAAATGGCACACTTCTTTTTTCTCTTCTGTCTATTTGTCAGTAATCCAATAACAGCAGCAGGCAATACAAGGTGAACATCCCGAGTCTAATGCATCAACACTTTAAAAGGAAAGATGCCAAAAAGAACATGTGACATTAATTCTAAAACCAGACCATATATCACACAATCAAAGCAGGGCCAAAGATGACAGCTTCGCCTCTGGCACCACTTAGGTGTAGAGTTCAAATCTTACAACGGCATTCCCTCTTCTAGGTCGAAGATGAGGCAAAATTATGCATGTATATGTGTGATGTTTGTGCACAGACAAAAGATGCAGCCTAGTGGTTATAACTTTAATTCTGCACCGCTTAGGTGCAGAGTTTAAATCTTACTATATATATGTGCATACATAGTAAAGAACTCACTGATAGCAAGAGCAGTGACAATCACAATGCATCCACAATGAACCCGTCCATACAACCAGCAAGGAGGATGGCAAAATTCCATCAAGAATAAACAAAAAACACAAAAACAAGATAAATCATATATCAAAACCAATTGTGACATCAGTACCAAGCTATTAATTAATTTGAGTACATCTCAAGATAGTTCCTTAAGTATGTTCTTATGCAGATGTTTTAAATTTGTCAAAATATTTAAGAAAATCGTATAGTTAGAATTAGCGCGAACAGTGAAAAAAGTAGATTTAAGCAAAAACACTAGAAAATTCCTCTCAAATCCTAGAAACTGCAACACCAATAATTGCACCTCAAAATACTGTATTTAGCCACAAGAAATAGACCAAACTTACAGGAACTGCACCTCCAAATACGAGTTTCCTCAAAATCTGGTAGCATTAAGAATGTCAACTTCCACTTCCTGAAAGGTTAATTCGTTTCCAAATTTGGATAGATTCATATGCTTAGTATGCTACTGCTCAGGACTTAGCACAAACTGCTGCTGTAGTTGCTTTGGCAGGACTTAGCACAAAGCAAAGTTGGTTTTGAACAAAGGTGATTCAAGTAAAATCACGTCTAGTAATGCAAATCAAGTGTCCACAGTAGAAGCAGCTAAGAATCAGACTAGATCATTGATACATGAGGATATTTCAACTCAGCTCCTGAATGCTGCAATTTTAGCGAATCGACGTATTACAAGAAATTTGAACTCTCTTCATAACAGCTCTGCTGCTGGAGAACGCCATGAGTCAAATCAAAGTTTGGTTCAAAGGGATTCGTCTTTGATTGGATTTGAAAGAGATAAGGAATTTGCAGCCATGTTGACTAGTTATCTTAATCAGGGAGCTAATCGTACGCAGTTAACCCAATTTCCAAACAATGTCAAGACTGGAGAAGGAAGTGGTACCGTACTTGATCAAGATTGGTCTAGTTATTTCAATCAGGGAGCTAACCGTTCGCAGTTAACCAGATTACCAAACAATGCCGAGACTGGAGAAGGAAGTGGTACTATACCTGATCAAGATTCTGAAGGAGAAAAGCAATCTGCAGTCTTGGATGATATCTGCTTCCTCAAAATTTCTAGTCAACAATTTTTTTTAGTTGAATGAGCACCACCTGATAACAATAGAAGAAATATGTATACTTTAACACATTTTTAAATACTCCAATAATAAGATTAGTGACAAATTCATAACTACAATTTCTACTTACTCACGTTCACTTTCCGGGATATTTAGTGCAAAACTAGAGGACTTAAACCTCTTTTCATATATGATGTAATATGGTTCCTCGTGCTATGAAACTAAATTGAGGCACACTTAATAGTAACCAAATGCTTTAGAAACCAAAAGTGACACCCTAAAATTATATGAGCACAAAATATATATATATAAGGAAGAAACCATCAGCAAAAATAAAATTTAATATTAGAACATGACAAAATAGACAAGGAAACATCGGCAAGCAAATATCATCCATTTGAGTCTAAAGCAAGTATCTACTAATCTTTAATGTGCCTTTAGTCGTTAATCAAGAAAGGGCTGAGCTATATTCTTATTTGAATTATAATCAAACTCATAATGTATCCTCAGAATCAAACTCGTCGTCCTCCGATTCAAACTCGTCCTCTGTTCCAAACTCGTCGTCCTCCGATTCAAACTCGTCCTCTATTTCAAACTCGTCTTCCGATTCAATTTCAAGTTGTTCTGCAAGAAATCCTTCTGGAGGCACATCAATAATCGTTGCTTGTAAATCATTCCTTACTAAGACAACTTCACCATTATCATCCGGCATAGATGGGCCTGCCAAATGTTCAGACGGCTCATTTTCATAACAGTGTAGGGCATTAGATTCAATTTCGTCACTTATGCTAAACAAGTCTCTCGGGACAGTCTTCATAACATAATGTTTATCTTGATCATATGGATCTTGCACATAGAAGCATTGGTGTGCTTGATATGCTAGAATAAAAGGCTCTTCCTGATAGCATTTCTTATTGAAGTAGACATAAGTAAGGCCATAAATATCCTCTTCAACCTCATACAAGTCGCACTTAAACAACACAACCTTAAAATGGCCATAGTAGTCTAACTCAACTATATCAATTATTCTGCCATAATAAGTCAAATTCGCATCAACTGGATTTTTATCCTTTGAGCTTGCAAAGCTTGTCGTTAGGGCATCTAATGTAACACCACTATTTTGCGTTTTACGCCTTGCATCACACTGCCTCGTATGGAATCTATATCCATTAATGAGATACCCAGAATATCTTTTGGCAATTGAATTTGGTCCTATGGATAACTGTTTTATCAGATCGGACACATCCTCATGCAATACACGAGTTTCAAACCATTGAGAGAAGTTTTGACTATGATTTTTGGCCTTGCTCCATCTAGATCCTCGCCTCTGATTATTAACCTCCACGTCATGTTCTCTACAGAACAATAATTTTTATTTGTTAGAAAAAGATAAATAAAATAATTTTAGAATTATCTACGTAAAAGAAAATACTACAAGTGAACAAAATTACCTTATATATTCTTGAACTTCATCACAATTGTTCAATACATATGCATGTGCCTGACATAGTGACTTGCCATATAAAACAATTGGATCACTCTTTTTGGCTCCTAAAGGGCAGCCTCTTTTAGGGAACAAACTGAAAGTTTGTGTATCATAACCACATTCATCATTATTTCGGGGTCTTCTATTAAATCTGGTTTGCACACCCCCATGTACGTATCTAGAGCACAAAGTCAAACACTCTTCAACCAAGTATGCTTCAGCAATAGATCCTTCTGGATGATTTTTGTTGCGAACATATAATTTTAATGTGTACATATATCTTTCAGGAGGATACATCCATCGATTCTGAACGGGACCTCCTAATCTTACTTCGTTTGCCAAATGAATAGGCAAATGAATCATTATATCAAAAAAAGTTGGAGGAAAAATTCGCTCCAATTGATTCAATGTTTCTCTAATCTCTATCTCCAAACAATCCAGATCTTCCAGTGTGATAACTTTTTGACATAAACGGCGGAAGAAAGAGCTTAGACGAACCAAAGGAATAACAACATGATCAGGAAGGATGCTTTTAATTGGTATTGACAACAAGTAATGTAACATGAAATGGGCATCATGCGTCTTATAACCAGATAATTTTCTTTCGTCTAGTTGCACACACCTAGATATATTGGAAGCACTACCATCAGGTAGCTTTGTTGTCCACAAAAAACTGATTTCTCTCCATTAGCCATTGAGAAACACACTTTTGCATACTTTGTTCTCTTGCCATCCTTTGTATCTTTTGGTTGAAGGTTCTTTCTAATGCCCATCTCTTTTAGATCAAAACGAGCATTTGGTTGATCTTTTGTCTTGCCAGGAATATCCAAAAGAGTTTCAATTATGTTATCAACTATATTTTTTTCTATGTGCATTATGTCAAGATTGTGACGTAATGAATTGTGCTGCCAATAAGGTAATTCAAAAAAATTGACTTTTTCTTCCATGGGCCATCATTTCTCTTCCTCTTTTTCCCAAAGACATTATTAATATTTTGCAAGTCATTAAGCACATCAGCTCCCTTCAAAAAAGGTGGAGGAAGCCTAAATTCTGTTTTTCCATTGAAAGGCCTTTTGTTGGATCTCCATGGATGATCCGTTGGTAGAAAAACACGATGGTCCATATAACACATTTTTCGACTATGTTTAAGATAGCGAGAATTAGTGCCATAATTACAACAAGGGCAAGCCAACTTCCCTTTTGTACTCCAACCAGATAACATAGCATATGCAGGGAAGCCACTAATTGTCCACAAAAGAGCTGCTCGCATTTGAAAGGTTTGATTTCTTGAAGCATCATATGTTTCCACCCCAGACTCCCACAACACATTTAACTCTTCTATTAATGGTTGTAAATAAATGTCAATGTCATTTCCAGGTGACCGCGGCTCAGGTATAAGCAAAGAAAGCATACAATATTCTGGTTTCATGCACATCCAAGGAGGCAAATTATACACCATTAAGATAACTGGCCATGTGCTATGAGATATGCTCATGGTTCGAAATAGATTGAACCCATCACTTGCCAAGCCAAGTCTCAAATTGCGAGAATCTCTTGCAAAATTCGGATGAAAGCTATCAAAGTCTTTCCATGCTTGGGCATCAGCAGGATGCCTTAACTTGCCATCTTTAGAACGCTCCTCGTCATGCCACCTTAATGTATCCGCTGTCTTGGAGCACATGAATAGCCTTTTGAGTCTAGGAATTAATGGAAAGTGTCTCAAAGTTTTTGCTGAAACGCGATGAGCTTTTTTAGAACACTCAACCTCGCTATATGCTTCAGGATATTTAATATATCTTGAAGCTCCACAAACATGACAATATTCATCAGCCTTATGTTCATTCCTAAATAGCATGCAATCATTGGGACATGCACCGATTTTTTCATAATCAAGACCGAGATCCTTAACCATAGACTTGGCATTATTGTAAGATAAAGGAATGTTCAACTCGGGCATCGCCTCTTTCAATAACTCTAAAAGAGAAGTGAATGACGCATTGCTCCATCCATGTAGACACTTCAACAAATATAGACGAATTGTGAATGATAATCTAGAGAATCCTTTACAACCAGGATATAGTTCTTGGCTTGCCTCATCAACTAAGTTATAGAATTTATTGGCATCTTCACTTGGACCTTCATAAAGTCCTTCGACTTGTGCAATATCTCTAAATTGATCATTCAATAACCCATTAATATCATCATACGAGTTAGTTTCATCACTCATGTCACCATCAACATTCATAGGGATTTTACATATCCCGTGATTAATCCATCTTGTATAACCTTGAACAAATCCATAGCATATTAGATGATCATATATTACATTCCTTTGAGTCCAACGAATATTGCAACACTTTGCACATGGGCATTGAATTTCCTCGCCTTGGGGATCTCCATAAAGGTAAGCAAATTCTAAGAAAGATTGTACCCCATCAATATACTCTTTGCTATACCTTGGTAAATCCATCCAATCCTTGGATGGAATATTTGAAACCCTAAAAATCAGATATTAATATCGAATCATCAAATATATAATCATTTAAGTATTATATATACATTACAATCCTAAAAGTCATGAGTATGTTTTCAAAATCATATGTAATGTAAGATGATAAGAATATCTTACCTAGTCATGACACTTATGTTAAGCCAAACCCAACTTCAAATATAGATCTTCCTGAGCGTTGACTTTTGTTCTTGGAGAAAAAAAGTAAAATTAATAGGATCCACACAACAAGAAGATAAATCAACAAAATATTCTTTTGGTAGGGAGATAGGATATTACTCAACTGAATACATACTTATTAGTCCAAAACTCACATGTTGAATTGACTTCTTTGAGAATCAAGATCACAAAAATTCATGAAAGAATAAGAACAATGAAATCAAAAGAAAAATAGAAAGTGAGCAAACAGTAGTATCAAATTCCTATTTAGCAATATTCATATTTCAGGAAGTGATCAAATAGTAGTGTCAAATTCCTTTTTGCTAATATTTTTGTTAACGTCTTCAAAAAAAGCTCAAACAAGAGAACCAACTTGAGTTAATAATCATTATCTCTATAACTCAATAACAAAACTTCTATAAATTGCAAATTATATACTATTATGCAGTATACACTTCTTGTATCAATGGTTGGTTATACACACAAGTTTTCATTACAATGGAGAAAGACCATTAACAAGACCGGGAAAGAACATAATGGAGGAGGTTACGGCAATGCGAGAAAAACTGGAGTCATCCATACATCACTGTCAATAGAAGAAGGATGAGAGTCCAAACTTACAACATGGACATCGAGACAGTGCAGCCCTCATTGGTGTTTATGTCCAGATACAGAGGTCATCACGGGTACAGTGAAATAAATAGGCAATTACATGTACATGACGGGTAACCAAAAGTTCTGGAACAGAACATTTTTTTGGAATACCAAAACTTTAAGATGGGAATTTGGCAAGGTACTATAGTTTGAAGACAACTGATAAAAGTAGTGAATGCTATTAGCAAGGAAATCCAAATACATCCAACTACTTCAACATAATAAGAATTCGATTCATACAATGGTTTGTCAACTTAAAAGGAATTCAGTCGGCTACAGGAGCAAACAACAGGCCAGAACACTGAATTTTGTGTGCGACGCCAACTGTTTTTACTCTATTTTTGGACAACAGAAGCTCTATCACCACCACAGGCGTATGCAAGAGCAGAAGCAGCATGGTCGTCTTTGGTGTCGCTAGTGCTGAGTGTTATTTTTGGAAGTTTGAATTCAAAAAGGATTTCTTCGGAAGATGAAAACAATTGACACAATACAATAAACTTTAATCCATTTTTTGTGTAACTAAAGAATTCACTTTAATAATGTTACTCCACTAACAACGTGCCTGTAATCTTTTTGCCAAGCAATGACATTTTTTTCTCATTTAGTTCCACCGTAATGATGGAGAATGTCTAAATTTTGTCCAGCGACAGCTTTAAAACAACATATGTTTCTTCTCTGAATTGACACTGCATTAGTTTGTCGTATTTATCCTTCTCTTTAGCTGTTGAACTGATTCTAGATTGATGTTGAGGTGAAGTTAAAAGAAAGAAAAAGAAATAGGATTCTGCTTACCTTCTGGTATTTCATGTGCTTTGTGCGAAGTCAAAGTGGCTAGCCAGATGAAAACTGAAGCCCTTTACAACAAAGTAGTGTGCAAGTAACTTGGCCTAATCCAGTCATTATTTCAAGTGTATTTGCATGTGCAAAGCAGAATAGCCTTAATTGGGGTAGATTAGTTCGCATCTCAGAATAAGGGAGGATTATATGATGCTAATTGCTACTGTCACAAATCCTTTTGTAGTATCATTCTACGAGATTGCAGCATATGATTGGGTAAGGTGTGGAATATGAGAAAAATCAAAGTCTTGGTCGTCGCTGCAGTTGCCCGGCACTAATGATGGTTAAGTCTTTGGCCTCATCTTAATTCTTATAAGGTTCACTCTTGACGCAGCAGCAATTGAGTACATTCAGGAAGATGGAATCTCAACAAAAATAACAAAAAGATGGAAAAACTAAATCTTTGCTACTGTAGCAAAGACCCAAATCTTCCAACAGAAAGCTTAATATTACAGATTTTTGCCTAAGTATTTCAATTCGCAGATAGTAATTAGTGCCTAATAAATTACAGACATGAATGTAAAAAATATAACAAAAAATTAAGCGGAAGAAAAAGAAAACTAAAATTGAAGCAAAAATGGAAAAACTTTCAAAGGAATTCCAAATTCATGGGCAGAAATCGGTGCAAGAAAGGAATCTCAACAAAAACCCAGTTCTTTCTTTCTTGGAATTAGCAAATTAAAGAAAACAGAGATTGGTATAATATAACTATTTCAAAAAGCTTGAGAACTTACAAGTCTAAAAGCAATAGAAGAGCAGCAATTGAGGGATTAAACGTTCTGTAGGGTTTTCCAAGTTAGAAAACTGATTTGCTACTTATTCCTGAAGCAAACATTAGAAATAGAAGCAGCAATTGAGGGTATTGGAGCAACGGTGGCGTGGAAACTGATTTGCTACTTATTCCTGTAGGGTTTTCCAAGTACTATTTTTGCTATGTATTCCTATAGGGTTTTCCAAGTACTATTATCTTGGACTTATGAGAATTGGCGGAATTTTCCAAGTACTATTTGATCTTGGACTTGTGTAATTTTGGTGGGAAATTTTTTGGGAATATTTTTATAAGGAATTTTTAGGGTACGCTTGTAAAGGGTTGCATTTAGTATGATAATATAGCAACCGTCCAAAAACGTTGCAATAGAATTTAAAAGCGTGGCCAAAAGTTTTATATTTAGGCAACACTTAAAAAGTATTGTCTTTTCAATTAAATGGAATGTTTTATAAGTGTTACCTTAAAACCCGTGGCCAAAGACTCTACTCAAAGGTCACGCCTAAAAAGCGTTCCTACATATACTTTTAGCAACACTTTTTGAGTGTTGCCTAAATTAATGTGGCTGTAGGCCTAAAATGTTGTAGTGATGCCTATAGGATCTTGTTTATTTGAGTCAATTATACTTCCTGTCAATCTGTTAATTTCTTTCTAAATACGATTAATAGATATCATGCCTATAGGAATAAAAAAACGGTTTCAAACCTAGAAATCATGCCTATAGGATTTTAAAACTAATAGATATCATGCCTATATGGTGAAATCAGTTCTGAAACTTTGAAAACCTGCCTATAGGGGTTTAAATCAAATAAGCAATTAGAAAGCATGCCTATAGGATCTAAAAGAAGTAAAACTATCTTTTGAGTTAAAATCAGTGCTACACTTAGAAATCATGCCTATAGGTCTGTCATTGACAAACTCGTAGAAATCATGCCTAAAGGATCCTGTTAGTCTACTCTGAATTCAAGCGCTCCTGTAAAACACTTAGGCAACAGATCCGTAGAACTTATTAATGATTCTAGGTTTTAAAATGTGACGCATTTCTGCCTGAGGTGCCCAGATCCATGCCGAATAAAATCAGCAGGCAAACAAATAGGTCTTAATGCTCACCTTAACAAATCTGTTTCTGAACCCTGTTTTCTCACATAGATATCCTGCCTATAACATCTTAAATTAATAAGTTTGCTGGTTCAAATGCATGCTTTTGTTGCTTATGTGTGGAGGTTAATATGAGCCTATACTTGCTCTTTACTTGAAAGTCCTATTTTCTTTTTGTGTGTCGCCTAGATTTCACATTTTTAAGAAACATAGAGTGGTCTAGAACCATCCCAAATAGAGGTCCTAATGCCTCCAGGACTATAGGTAAGGGATGACTAGTGCACGCATATGGTACGGTTTAGAATCAATTAGTGCGATTAAATAACAACTTGAAGATAGTAACTGGGTAGTAAAGGTAATGATAGCCCATGCGCTAATGCTATGAATAAAACCCCGACTTGAGGAAGTTGCAAAGCATTGCATGGAATGATCCTATAGGCTAAAAAACTTAGGACCACCCCTATGCTCTTATTTGAAATAAATTGAATATTGTATTTCTCCAAATTGTCTTCCTTCCCTATTAAGACTAATTCGCTTAATTTAAGTTCGGCCGGGACCCACCGTTATGGACCTCGAGGGGTGCCTAACACCTTTCCCTCAAGGTAATTTCGAGCCCTTACCCGATCTCTGGGGATATCTTTAGGCTCTTACCATAACGAACTTATCTGTGAATTAGGTCTTTAAGCATGTCTTTATTATTCCGTTAATACTTGAACACCCCTGCCCATTCTACGTGAATTTATTTATAATTTCCTTCCCCTACTTTATAACTTTTACTATGGAAACTGACCTGTCTCCTTGTTTTCCTTTTCTTAAATGTCTTTACAATTATTAAATACCGTATTTTATCATTATTCATCAAGCAAATAATTGACAACGTGTTATTTTCTTTTTGCATAACTCCATGCTCAACATCATATTCCACTCGTGCCTACTAATACCACAGTGACACTTGATGAGTGTAGGCTTATTTGCGGTAAAACTAGTCGATCAGCGGTGCGGTCGACGGTTCCGTGCCTTTTCCCTTCAAGTTGTCCGCTTGAGGGTACCGGTCTAGACTTCTATAGAAACCTTGCTCTGATAAATAACTGTACATGTATCATGGTCAAACCTAGCTAGGGTTAATATGCTCTCCACATAGTAACCCTCTAAGAAAGCCTTGTTCAAAGTCCACCGGGATTTCCATAGTCCCAACGGACGCAATCACGATATGTGCATTATTTGGAGAGATAAATGCCGACATGCTAATCGTTAATGTGTAAGTAGTCGAATCCGGAGGGGCAGGGGTCTAACTTTGTTTATTTTGCAGAAAATGAGGCACGAAGTCCCCAGGTTCGGCATGGTCCGAAGTATACCCCCACTATTGTTAGACTGGTGGGAAAATCTTTCGTCAAGCGACAGAAATCACGTGAAAAAGGTTC